CAGGAGCACAGACAGGAGCAGTTCTCTCTGTGCCCAGCACTCCTGTCTGTGCTCCTGCACTCTGAAGATGCCGGTCACAGCTGGCGAAACGTTAGGAAACAAAACTTCCAGAACACGGCCACACAGCCCGGAAGACCCACACCAGCCATTTATGATCAGTTCTTGAATTTATGATGGTTGCAGCGACCCCGCGGTCACATGAATGCGAATCGGGCACTTGGAAACCAGAGCACATGTACAATGGTTGCAGTGTCCCACAGTCACATGACTGCCATTGTTGACCTTCACAGCCAACTTCTGACAAGCAAAGCCAATGGGGAAGCCAGCAGGAAGTCACAAGTCACAGTCACATGATGTCGCACTTAATGACCCTCGGTGATACACTTAATGACCACAGCCAGAACTGATGTCATAAGTCAGATGCAGTCACGTGATGTTTCACTTTACAACCACACTGCTTAGCAACGGAGTTGCCAGTTCTAATTGCAGTTGGTAAGTAAAGACTACCCATATTTACAACTTACACTAAGAAAAAGATACAAACCAAAACTGCTTCCTGAAAATATCCAGCAAAAATCATGAGCAGCCAGCAGCCAAAAATCTCAGCATCACAAGATTATCACCCCATTAAAATTCAACCTGCCTCAGGGGGCTGACTCACTTTCGTCTCCTTCTACTTTGTAGGCAAATGTCTCCAATACCCCAAACAGCACTTGGTCCTCAAGTCCAGGCACCGAAAGCTTTGTCCGTCCTTCAAGCTGTTTGTTCTCCACCTGCCAAGGATACAACCCATCAGTTTCTAGTCTCCAAACTTTACTGAAGTCCTTATTTGGGGCTCTACTCCAACCACATACCTCAATGTCAGAAATGGCCGATTGCAAGGCACAAGACCAGTTCACCAGGCGCTTGTCACGATATATCAGGCCTTGTTCATGAAGTTGCACAAAAGCCTCAGTCACAGCTTGAGAGAAATGCTGGACAAGAAGAGGAGGAGAATTGTTACAATAAAGCAGTGTTTCTCAACCTTGACAACCTGAAGATGTGTGGACTTCAATTCCCAGAATTCCCTACCCAGCCATGCTGGCTAGGGAATTCTGGGAGTTGAAGTCCACACATCTTAAAGTTGCCAAGTTTGAAAAACAGTACAATAAAGGCTTGTTCTTATGGATTCCTAACCAATGTTGTAGCCACAAACATTCTACTAACAGCATTTAGGAACAATTCTGAAATGGAAAAGTTATCTTCCAAATCACAAATGGAATGTTAACTTCTCCACTTCAAAAGAACTGATCCTAAATACTGTTAGTGGAGCCTCTGTGGCTTATTTTAACAAACATTTTCCTCAATATTTCCCCTTTTCCAAATAAAAGGAGATAGAAAAAGGGAGATTAGTCAGCCAAAGAACCTGATAGCTCACTGGGGAACTGAACCTGGATTTTCTTACATCCAAATCCAGCCCTGAAGCCAATAACTTATACTACTGATTCTACTGTAAGATGACCATTCCCAAAAGTCAAAGGAGAAAAACTGAAATTGCTCAAGGTCACCAAATGAATGGTTAAGACATAGTCTCAATTCCCCTGCCCAAATTCCAAAGCCAAATACAGAAAACACTCAGTTTAACAGACTAATGGGAAAGCTAAGTATTCATTAAAGTAGAATATGAAATCTGAATGGTATTTCACATGTAAATGTCTCTTCTTGCTCTTTCCCTTGAATTTGACATTTAGTTTGGTAACGTTTCCTGTCACTGTTGCCTTTTGCTCCTTTCCTCAGATATTTTTAGGGTATCTATAGACAGCCATTTTTGTCTACTTTTGGTTCTTATAATGCAGATTATTTTTAACTGCTTCTTCTTTAACGGTACCACACATTTTGGTGCAGAGTTCTTCAGGCACTCTATTTATGCAATCCAGTCCATTACATCAGTGTCACTGGGACATGCGAGCCCCTTCATCACTCCAATGATCCATGCAGGGCTTTTACACACTGTGCATGTGCAAAATGGGAATGGACTTTTATGCATGTGTATTTTACACACTGCAAAGCTTACAACGTGCAGACAGAATTTTGTCCCCTGCATACAACATCTGCTAAGCTGAAGTCTATTAAATCGAGGGTTTCCTGCCTTTTACTCTCTGAATGTGGGGAAAGAATGTAGACATCCTGGCCCAGCAAAAACCTTTGCCTGTGAACATCCCTGCTACTCACAGAATCCATAGTGAAGCAGGCTCTATCCCAGTCCAAGGATGCTCCCATCTCCTTCAGCTGTTGGAATATTTCATTCCCTTTTCTGATATTGCAGAAAGACAAAAGTAAAACAAACCCTTTATGGTTATAAATATAAGGAAAAACAGAAAGCATCTGACAGGGTTAGCTGTTCAGAGAGAAATTGCGCAGCTCCTACCTTTCACAATCTATTTCACTGAAGCATAACCTTGACATTAAACCTTCCCTACGTAATCTATCCTTACACCAGAGTTAGCAACTTGCCAGCTGCACATACCCTCCCCCAGCTGCCTTTCTGTGGCTGATGCCGCCCCTGAGAGCACACAAAGGACTTTCCACAGCATATTACTTTTTCCTGAAATAAGTAGCAAATAGATCTGTTAAACCTTCATGAAGCTCAGCCTATTGTTAGTTCGGAAAATTGCCACTACCACCTCCATCAAAAGGCCGAACATTGTAGCTTCTTCACCTCTAATACTCACTCCTCAATCCACTTCCAGACTTCCTGAAGAAATTCATCACGTGGGAGATCTTGTCGCAGAACCCCCCGTTCTTTCCAGATCTTTTTTTCTACCACAGCCTGATCAGGTGAAGGACGAACATAAAAGAAGAGAGACAAAGAATCTGTCCAAATGGTATATACAGTCCACCTTCCCTTAAGCCAATGTTTTTCAAACTTGGCAACTTAAAGATGTGTGGACTTCAACTTCCAGAATTCTGGGAGCTGAAGTCCACACATCTTTAAAGTTGCCAAGTTTGAAAAACACTGCCTAAACTCTCAAAGCGGAAATATTGATGTTACATTATGTCATGCCAGCATGTACATGTTTCACATATCTTCCACCGCACTTCTTGTGTGTGTATGTGGGGGAGTATTTCTCTATTTTTACACAAGGTATATCCTGTGTGGTGTTTTCAGTTACATTTTTAAAAAATTTGTTTTATTATATTGTTACAAGACATATGTAATATGTTATATTATTCTGGTACAGTGTTATTTGTACAGTGTTATCTAGACATTATTAACACTCTAATGTTTAGATATCTTAGACCATTAAGATATCTTAGACCATTAAGACAGAAAACAAGAAAAAGTATTACATTAGTATTAACTATAATTTAAAATGTCTGTGTTAATAGCATCACATTATTTAGCTTTTTCATCCAGAAGTGAATATAGCATAAAGAAGCAGCTGCAAATTCCATCAAAATATTTGTTGTACAATAAAGGTTTCTGTCTTAAGCTGATTACTTAACACTAAGGTGTCCACTGTATCATTACTTACTATTGTTTGTGCATGTTGAAAAAAAAAAGAAATGGAAAGAAAAGACCACCAGGGCAGGCACTATGTGACTGGTTTTGTCCTATCAGGGACTCATCAGATGTAAGTAGCCAGATGTTATTCTACAGGGGGTCAAACTCTCTGCCGGGAATGGTATATAGGATCAATTCCCTTAAGCTCTCAGAGCAGAAAGATACACGTTTCTCTCTGGATCACCATTCTGATAGGTTCTATAGGCACCGTATATAGCAGTGTTTCTCAACCTTGGCCGCTTTAAGCTGTGTGGACTTCAACTCCCAGAATTAAAGCGGCCAAGGTTGAGAAACACTGTATATAGTCATCTGAAGTGCAACAGTCCATGAGTTCAATCCCCAGTAGAGGGCTTGGACTCCATAGAATAACATCTGGCTATCTATAGCCACAATAGGACAAAACTGGCCATGTAGTGCCTGGCCTTGGTGGTCAAAGTATGTGAGATATGAGGAGGTTCAACCAGTAATTTTTGTTGAAGGTTGCCACTGCCACATTTACTGATGCCACGGCCTCAAGATGCCATCATCTGGAGTTCAAGGACATCCAGAACTGAAACAGACATATTTTAGAAGTATTTCATACTCCCCATTGTGGGGAGATGGGCGGGGACAAATTAAATAAATAAATAAAAATAAATAAATAAAATAAAATTTCATTTTTAAATGTGCTGAGATTTCTTTTTGTATTCTGGTTTGATTCAGAGCCACCATGGCAGAACAAGCGGTCTTTCTCTTGGGGCAGAAAGGTGGGTTAAAATACATTAAATAATTCACATCCACACCTTTTCCACCACAAGAATCCTTCCAGTTAATTCTAAAAGGTTGAGAATCATTACAGACAGATCAATTGTTGTCCAGGATTATAAGCTTCTGCTTTGAACTGCTGGTTCTCACCTGAGTTGCAATTCCAGCATGGTCAGAACCTGGAACCCAGAGAACTCGATATCCTTGCATTCGTCTCCTGTAACACAGCAAGAAGAAACAAACCTAGAATTCAACTTTCTTGTTTACAAGTTCCAAACCCTTAGATGGCATAGAGATTCAAACAGAAATACCCAAAATGCAGAGGAAGGGGATGGGGAAGGGAAAAGGGAACAGATTTCTGGAGAGGAAAAGTTCTGCTGTCAGCTAAGGCAGTGTTTCTCAACCTCAGCAGGTTCAAGATGTGTGAATTTCAATTCCCAGAATTCCTCAGCCAGCATGCTGGCTAGGGAATTCTGGGAGTTGAAGTCCATACATCTTAAACTTGCCCAGGTTGAGAAACACTGAGTTAAGGAATGGGTTGTCTCTCCAGTTTGGAAAAGAGGCCAAATTGTTGCTGTTAGAGGCAATTCAACCACATGTAACTCTAATTTCCCAGAAGCGGCCACCATTCTTTTGTCTATGTCAGTATTTTTATATATTTCTTAACAATATAGCATGACTAAATGCATCATTAATAAACTTAAAGCCTGTGGGACCCATCGCTATTAGTGACCGAGGATCTATATAACCATTTCCCAACTCTCTAGAAGCACACTTACCATCGTACCAAAGTGTCTTCAATAGCCACAGTCAAGGCGTGCCCCAGGTGAAGGGACCCCGTGACATTAGGCGGTGGGAGGGAGAGGGAAAACGATTCTGGCTTCCGATGGGGTAGGCGTTCCTGTCAAAAAGAGGAATTGGATTTAGCATTGTTCTGAATTCACCCTCCTACCACACTATCAAGGCTCCATGCTGGTACTATAAACCCAGAAACTCTTAAAAATGTGCGAGAAGGAGCCTTCTTTTCCAGTGTTTACAAACTGAGCATGAAAGCAGTTTGACTAGCATTTCCCACAGGAATTACTATTCACAAAGGAATACTGCCTCTGACAATGAACATTTCATATAATTACAGGTACTCTTCAACTTGCGACCACAAGTGGCATCAGAACATCCATCACTAAGCGATGCAGTTGTTAAGTGAGTGGTGCCTGATTTTACAACTTTTTTTGCTATGGTCGTTAAGCGAGTCCAGCTTCCCCCATTGACTTTGCTTGTTGGAAGCCCCCTGGGAAGGTTGCAAATGGTGATCACATGAAGCCAGGATGCTGCAACCATTGTAATTACATGGCAGATGCCAAGCACCTGAATTTTGATCACGTGACTGCAGGGATGCTGTAACGGCCGTAAGTGCAAGGACTGATCGTAAGTCACTTTTTTCAGTGCCATCATAACTTTGAATGGTTGTTAAATAAATGGTTGTAAGTCAAGGACTACCTGTAAGCAAGAACTGAGAAAGGAACAGGAAGGCACCTACAGTCAGGTCCAGAAATATTGGGACATCGACACAATTCTAACATCTTTGGCTCT